AGCGTGACTCGGGTAGGGACAATACCATCATCCTGGGTGGCAGACTCCGACTTGAGGACAACCTGTACAAGACCGCGGCAATGCTCCGTCCAAATGTCTTCGGCGGATGTGCTGAAGATACGGAACTCTTGCCATAGCTGGGACGACTTCCTCGCCGACACTGCTTGAGGCCGAAGTGACAGGCTGATCTCCAAGTCAGGCTTGTTATTCTCCATGACCAGCGCCTGTGACATGTTGACGTTCCGGAGGATAAACCGGTTAATCGTTGCTTGGGGATTCCGCATAGCCGTGTCTTGCCGTGCCGCTTGAAAGACCATGGCGAGATATGCCGTAGCTGGGAAAATGGTCTGCCCCTGGATAATGTGGCCACTCAGCCAGGGGACGTCTTTCAAATTGAGGAAGCAACGCCATCTGGGCTCCTGGGGATTGTTGTCATGGACGAGGCTGCCAAGGAGCTCATGGGGGAGGAATGTACGATGTTTGTAAGCTTTGGATACCCGACTCTCGTGCCAGTACGTTTTGGAGTGGTCGAACGGATAAGGGGGAAGATCCGTCAGGAGTTTAGGGGCCGTTTCGACGAAACCAGCATTGGCCTTCCAAAAGGCGACGGGGAATCTTTCCAAATATAAGGATCGGAGCATCTCCAACAGGCGAAGCTGGGCATCTTCACCGCGCTTTAGAGATCCAGCATAATGAATCTTGGCCGGCTGTCCGGTAAAAGTCCTCAAGGTCTGCTTGATGGGACCTTCCAGCTGGAAGTGGGATCCCAGCTCAAGAAGCAAGTCGACCTTGCGCGTGCCACTTTCTCCCACGCAGGTCTTCTTCAAAGCGTCCGTAAAGCGGACAGGCGAGACCAGATTGTGCACCCAGTAGTCCCGGGTGATGGGTTTGTCTGCGTGATCCTCGCCCGTGACAGAGGAGACCATGCTGATATTGGATACAGGCACACCACCGGATAGATTCTTCAGAGCCTCGTGGTACTTTTCAGCAACTTGGAGCATCTGAGGCGAGTGGTAGGCAGCTCCCCCGGTACGGAGAAGTCGATTCCAGATATCCTGCTCGTCTAATCGCTGCTTTAAGGAGTTAATGACATCTTCATCTCCAGATACTGTCACGCTCTCAGGGCTGTTGAAGCAGGCAATGGCTATCCTACTGGAAACAGCAGCACCCAGTTGGTCGATGGACTGCTTAACAGTCGTTGCTGATGCTCCGACAGCTATCATGGCGCCGGCCTTGCCCTTGTTTTCCTTTCTCAGATCGCCAGTGAGCCGACCACGGTGATATGCCACCGTCATGGCATCCTCGAACGAGATGGCTTCGGCGCAGTACGCGGCAGCAATCTCGCCGCTAGAATGGCCTATCACAGCGCTCGGAAATACCCCCAGATCCTTGAGGGTGTCCACGAGAGAGATTTGAACCGCCGTTGATATAGGTTGTGCGATACGCGGATCCTCCATTCGGCTTTCTGCGGGCTCCTTGAGTAGCTCCTCAAGCAGGTCCCACGAGCTTCCGCATGCCTTAATGCATGCAGCTGCCCGCTTCATACTGGCTGTGAAAGTTGGCCATGTACCCAGCAGGCTCTGGCCCATTCGAGGATACTGGGCACCTTGGCCGCTGAAAACGAAGCCGATACGAGGGGTAGTCTGGTGGTCGGCACGGGGGATGGCTTCGGTGGACAAATTGGTCAGCTGCGCAACCAGATCATTCAAGTCAGAGGCAACAACTCCGACCCTGTTCGCCATGACAGACCTCCTACTCAGGGTGTACGCAAGGCGGCTCAGCAATGCGTCCGCGTCAGGAGAATCCGCCTTGCTCTCGAGATACTTGGCCAATTTGGATGACATATCTTGGCACGACTTCTCGCTGGCAGCGCTGAGAACAAAGAGCCGTTCTTTAGCCCTGGATGTATCTTCAGGCACATGATGATCATGGGTGATTGAAATCTTATTGCTCTGGCTTGTCGGCTTCACCGTGGCAACCTCCCCGGCAGCGTCTACAACGACGTGGGCGTTAGTTCCGCCGTAGCCGAAACTATTCACCGAAATTCTCTTGAGCGGCCTAGACTCGAGAGTTATTGGGATTCTAAGATTGAGAGCGTCCAGGTCAATCTCCGGGTTCGCCTTCTCGAAGTTGACCTGGGGCGGAATCATGTTGTGTTCGAGCATCAAAACGGCCTTGATGAGACCGGTGAGACCGGCTGCGCTCTCAGTATGACCAATATTGGCCTTGAGGGAGCCGATAGGCAGGGGCGAATCCGACTCTCGACCAGCACCGAGAACCTTAGCAATCGCCCGGGCCTCGATGGGATCGCCAACTGCGGTACCTGTCCCGTGGGCCTCGACATAGTCTGCATACGGTACCAGGCCGACCTGAGCATAGGCCTTCTCAATGGCAGCGGATTGCGCTTCAGCACTTGGGACAGTAATTCCGTTTGTCTTTCCATCCTGGTTGGCTACCGAGTTTTGGACAACAGCTCGGATTGGAAAGCCCTGCTTCTGGGCCTGTGAAAGGGGCATAAGGACAACCCCCGAACACCCTTCACCTCTGCCGTAGCCACTGGCCGTTTTGGCGCGGTGGTCAAATGTGAACGACTTGCCTTGTTTAGAGAACATACTTAGCTTGTTTTGATAGCCATATCGCTGCGGATCGAGCTGGAGATTGACGCCCGCTACGAAGCATTTATCTGTCTCGCCTGCGCGGAGACTGTGCACGGCCTGATGAAGGGCTACCAAACTGGCTGAGCAGCCGGTGTCTAGGGTGAGACTGGGGCCGTGTAGATTGAAACAGTAGGAAATACGATTGGAGGAAATGGCCGCTCCAACGCCGCTGGCCTGGTAAATAGGCGGAAAGTCGATATCTCTGAGGAGCATCTCCTGGTAGTCCGAGGCCCACTGGCCGACATAGACACCAGTGTTAGACCCTGACAATTGTTCAAGGGTGAGGCCGGCATTTTCAAAAGCCTCATAGGCAATTTCAAGAAGCAGTCTCTGTTGAGGGTCCATGGCCTAAGGTCAAGTAGGGTTAGCTGGTTACTCCCCACGCTGGCTTGAGACCACATTGGCAATAGGAATACGCACCGTTGCCTCTATTGGGTTGACTCCGAAGAAGGAGGCATCAAAGGCTTTAATATCATCTTTCAGAAAATGTCCACCGTCTGTACTTGTCTAGAGAGTAGATAGTCAGTTGTAAATTCTGCATAGGGCCAAGGCTAGACTGCCGGGCTGATAGATGATATTTCCTTACCCTTCCGGGCTTGCCCTCGGCAGAGGGATCATGAAAAGCCTCTTGGTTGAATCGATCCTTGGGCACCTTTGACCACGCCGAACGACCCTTAATGAGCAGTTCCCACAGCTTTTGCGTGTCTGATGCGTCTCCAGATAGCCGACAACTCATGCCCACCACGGCAATAGGCTCCAAATGCCCTCCATTTGCTGCTGTTGGAGAGTCCCCATTAACAGCCGCACTGCCATTGTTGACCGGGTTGCCATTCGTGACACGCGTCGGGCCTAGTGAGCCCATGATGTTTGAAAAAGAAGAATATAGCCAAAAGGTGAGAGAGCTATGCCCAACTCCAAGAAGAATGCGTCTCCAGATTATAAGTCGAAATCGTAAGCTCTCCTAACGTAGTAGGTACGTAACCACCGACAACGTGCCGCCACCAAAGGACTATTCGGGTTGCTCGCCCAGGGTCCAGGTCTACGTATGTAGTATTTCTCACATAATCCGGCAGCGATCTACTGCCCAGAGGTTGTTGAAGCTCGGAACCTGCCAAGGATTACCCTAACCCCACGCGTATAATCCTTCTCCATGGAAAGTGATCCTCCTACTATACGAAGTACAGCACGGAAGTTTATTGCAGACTCAATAGAAATGGCTTATAAAGTGAATTTCCGCCCTGTAACTCCCTGTAGTACCCTATAAACAACAAGCAAGAGCCTCTGATTAAGAATACCCTGAAACTATGATGATGTTTAGGGTATGATTGCTACAGCCTATAATTGGTCAGATTTTATTGGGGTCTGTGGAAGCGAAACTCAGCTCTACCTGAATAGGCTAGCAGACTCCATACTCTTATCTCATACAGGGACTCAATTAGTGGGTTCATTTGATGAATCCAACCAATTATAGGCCCTTGTAGTGTATAAGCTTATGATATTATTCTTCGAGTGATATTTCGAAGTTGATTGATCAATCAATAGCGTTTGATCATCTTTTAGGGCTCTGCAGGGGCTATATAGCATCTTACAGGCTTTAGATCCATTTTTTAGACCATTTCTATCGAGTCTGCAACAAACTTCTGTTCACCGGGCCGCACCCTCCCTGGTCCCCTATCTGCACCCTCTATTTGGTAAAAGCTTGCGAAGGATGATCATGCATAATAGAATCCTTTAAACATCTGATCTTTCTATTATACAAAGTAAAGTATATCTGACTGTACTCTCCCCTGGTCCTCTATTCACACCCTCTATTTGATAAAGGCTCGCCAAGGATGACTTTGCATAATACAATCCTTCTGCATGTAAGATCATCCTTCTACCATAGGAAGTAGATAGACGTACCCTTATCTGTGAGTATTTGAGGGCTGGCGGTGGCGGCTGACTCAGACCACACGGGAAATAAGAGTATCTTTTTTCCCGGCACAAAATGCCGTGTTAATACCCTGGTGACGCCCTACCCACAGTCTCTGGTTAGTGCTTAATACACGCCTTCTGGGTAGCCGAAGGACTTACGCCCTAATATCGTAGTAGGTGTGCAAGTGCTCGGCGGGAACAGGCCGCCCGCTTTGTATTTTCACCGGATGAACAAGACGGTCGAATACGCTCAACTGAATTCAAGAGCATTCCCAAGGCTGAATACAACCAATAAACCATCTTTGTTTTCTTTGAAAGCTGCTTCTGAGCTGTCCTACGCCTTTCATTGTTTCCACATTTTGGTTGTTGCCATATTGAGTGAGTGACTTTACTAGCGTTACAACCACTTTCAAACTGTCAAAACACAAAATGGGCGGTCACAATGGCATCGAAACCTTGCTGTGCAGGGCGGCATCTCATGTCCTGAAAAGGGACGAATCTGAGATTAACGCAGAGAAATCTCTCGTCGAGCAAGGCGGCAATATGCTGTCAGGAGTCTTCTTCGCCGGTCAATGTAGAGAACTCGGTCTCCTCGTCGACATGGCCTATGTCTCGACCATGTCTATGCGTGATCTAGCACGGCAGCTGATCGAAACTAATCCAGAGTTGCTGCGATCGGGTACTGGGACGGACCACAGATCTGTTTCTGTTCCCCACACACAGCTCCAGAGCCTGTACCGTAACTTCGGGTCGTCGTCACAGGGCTTCATATTGGATGTTGAAGCTCCAGCGTCCCTCACTGATGCTACTCAAATGTTGGAGAGGCTGATGGAGAGACATCCAATTCTCGGAGCTTCCCTGGAGCCCGATCAAAAGAATTCTTATGTCTTGCCAGGCATCGCACCTTCCCCCTCGGGAACCTTGGTCCTATATGAATCCAATGAGAAGGCTATTGCTCAGGTGAGAGAGCTGGAAGAGGAGGTTTCAGCGTCAAGCTCACCTGTTCTCAAAGTTCTCTTCTTTGGAGAAAGATCCCGAATCAGAAAATTCGGTTTGGTGGCACACATGGCCGCTATTGACGCTTACTCATGGCAAATCCTTCTTCAAGATATTCAGGCTTATCCAGCCCGATCACATGGCTCGAATACTGAGTCTCGCACCTTCTCCGACTGGGTTGAGCGCGTGAATCAGGGAACGGAGAAGGAAATCGAATCTGCTGTCGCAATTGAACCCTCGGTGAATTCAGAGTCGCCACCGAAAGGCCCCTCCCCGCAAGCCGGAGTTGTCTCATCTTTGGTCTTTAGTTTGAGCTTAAAGTTGACGGAAGCACTTCATAGCGAGACATGCCACCGAACATTGCGTACAGAGATTCACGATGTGATATTTGCGTCCTTGGCCTCTTCTTTCGGAAACCAATTACCCGGCCCAACGAGACATTTTGAGATCAGGAATGGTCGGCCCCATGAGGAGGATGAAGCGTGGAATAGTGTGATAGGATGCTTTGATGAGCTTGCTGAGATACCCTACCACTGCACTGGAGACATAGTCGATGCGTGCCGAAGCGCGAAAGATTCGAGACAGCGTTCATTCTTGAGCTCTGTCCACAATATCTCTCTTCACAACAATCTCATCTTTGACGCAACTCGGCTAAGGAAGTGGAAGGGTGCCTCATCCAACAATGTAATGCAGTCGACTGACGAAATGCCCGGGCGACATGCTGCCGAGGCCATCGCTCGATCAATAGGCGGGTTCTGCATGACTCCTTTTTGGAAGGATACAAAATTGAGCTTCTTGGTCGTTTGCGGTACCGAGTTCGGAGGAGAAACGGATCTAAAGCGCAATTCCGAGAAGTTCGTCAGCCATCTACAAGATATTGTCGCAATATTACCCAGTCGTCGACCTTTGCCCACGCTCTCCGATTTCCCATATGTATCACTAGACTACCAGTCTCTGGACCGCTTATTTGAGCAAAAGTTGCTTCAAATTACTCAAGATCCTCTTGCAGACATTTACAACATCTATCCGTGTACGCCCATACAGGATAATATGCTCATTGGCAATTCCCTGGATAGTGGGGCATACATGTGTAGCTTTACTGCCAGAGCCTCAACTTCAGGCGCTTTCGCATCCATTGATGCTGCAAAATGGGCTACGTCATGGAGCAGAGTCGTCGAGAAGCACTCGTCTCTCAGGACTGTGTTTGTCGAGAGCGAAAGTCGCCTGGGGCACTTTGACCAAGTCGTGCTCAAGAAAGTGGCCCCGCGAATCGACATAATTTCAGGGGTTCTCGAGCCGGTAAAGGTTGTATTTCAACCGTTCGAGATGCCGCACTATCTGACCATCACCCAGGAAGGCCCTGGTCGGTGTCTCATCGTGCTAACTATCTCCCACGCCATCACCGATGGCCACTCTGCCGAAATTCTTCTGAATGACCTGTGTGTCGCTGCTGTCGCACCTGGAGGCACCGACGAGAAGGCATTCTCCTACGCTGAATACGCGCTCAGCGAGTATCAATCCAGAGAGACCCATGTGTCGGATTACTGGCAGAAGTATCTCTCCAAGACGCAGGCAACACTGCTTCCAGTCACACGAGAGGAGGCTGATTTTCACGATTTCGACACCATACATTCCACCATGCCCGTCAACGTAGCATCTATGGACCGGCTCTGTCGACGGCATAAGATCAACTTGGCCAGTGTCTGTCAACTTGCCTGGGGCGTCGTGCTGCGCAGTCAACTCGGTGTCGACGACGTGTGCTTCTCATACATCTCCTCACTGAGAAACAAGCCTTTGAAGGGCATCATGACAGCTATTGGGCCGCTGATCACCACACTCCTTTGCTCCATGAACTTGGAAGGGGATAGAGACGTATTGGATGCTATCAGGGCTGTCAATTCCGAGTACGCAGACAGTCTATCCCACGAGGCAGAGTTTTCTAACACCACTTCACCTCGTCGTTGGAGCAATACCGTCATGTCATTCCGCCGGAGACTTGTTCAGGATGATGGACGTCTTCAAGGCTTGACTTATAAACTTATCCAAGGCTCCAGCCCTACAAATGTAAGTACAAATCCCTCAGAGAATTCCCACGCCACATAATTCTAATCTTATCGGCAGTATGATGTTTCTCTTGTCGTTTCGGCGGGCCAAGCAGATTTAGAGTTCGCGCTGGATTACTGGGCTTCTCGGATGGATAGAGACTATGCCCAACGTCTCCTTCAAAACTTCCAGGAGGCGCTTCACTCTATTTTCCGAGACATTGGCACCACTGTGTCCAGACTCGAGCTGATCAGCGAAGATCAGAAGCAGCAGATCCTAGAGAGAAACTTTCGTGTTCCCGAGGGTCTGAATCGATGCGTCCATGAGCTGGTAAATGAGCGCATCCAGAAGCAACTTTCGGCTGTCGCCATCAACGCTTGGGATGGCAGCTTGACATACGAGGAGTTAGATGACCGCACCTCCCATTTCGCTCAGTATTTAGTGAATATTGGTGTTGGGCCAGAAGTCCCAGTGGGAGTCTGTATGGACAAATCCAAGCTCGTGCCGGTCGTCATGCTCGCTATCTTACGGGCTGGCGGTGCTGTTGTTCCCATCGGGGTGGGGGAACCCATTGCTCGTGTCCAGGCCATTCTTGCCGACTCGTCCCCCGTGGCCGTGATTGGCGATGGGAAACAAGTCAGCCGACTTTCTGGACTGGGCACCCAGCTTCTGAATATAATCGACATTATAGCGGATGAGTCATCAAGTTCATCATCATCATCATCATCATCATCATCAACCACAACAACCACCACACAAGGGACGCGACCCGAGCCGGAAAACACCGCATGGATCTTTTACACGTCTGGTTCCACTGGAACACCAAAGGGTGTATTGGTAGAGCATCGAGCCCTGGCAACAAGCATGCGTGCCCATGGTATCGCACTGAACCTGTCTCAAGAGGACAGGGTACTCCAGTTTGCGGCGCATACATTCGACGTGTCCCTATTTGAGTTATTCACCACACTCATCTATGGAGGCTGCGTCTGTATACCTGATGAGACGAATCGTGTCAACGACCTGGCAGGCTCAGTACTTCGTCTACAGGCAAACGTTCTTTCCCTCACCCCAAGCATGACATCGATGATCACACCCGCGGATGCCCCAATGATTCGAAAACTGATTTTGTTTGGAGAAGAAGTCAAAGCGAGCGTATTAGAGGCCTGGCTCGGAAAGGCATATATCTTCAATGCCTACGGTCCAACCGAGAGCTCTATATTTGCCAGTGTCAGCAAGCCGTTCCAGAGCGTGGAAGACCTGGCGAATATTGGATTCCCCATGAACGTGAACTTTTGGGTCACTGATCCACAGAACCCAGGGCGGCTATGTCCTCCAGGAGCTCCGGGCGAGCTATTGATCGAGGGCCCACTGCTGGCCCGAGGATATCTCAACGACAAAGCCAAGACAGCTACTGCTTACATCCACGATCCAGCATTTGTATCTCTACTAGGGATTGGGCCCGGGAGACGCTTCTACCGAACTGGAGATATTGTACGGCAGAACAGCGATTCCTCTATGAGCTATCTCGGTCGAAGAGACACGCAAATGAAGATTCACGGCCAGCGACTTGATGTATCCGAGGTCGAGCACTGGATTATAAAGTCTCTCGATGGTGTAATCCGGGCCGTCGTTGGCCTTTTACTTGCAGATAAGAAAGACACATTCTCCTCAGGAGGTTCCATCTTGTTTGCTGCCGTTGAATTTTCCAAACACACCGCCTTTGATCCCTTGGGGGATAGAGAAATTCTCCCAGCGTCCGATGAGCTTCGCGAAGGACTCAAGCTACTGCGGAATACATTGCAAGCGAAGCTTCCCTCCTACATGATTCCCACTTTCTACATTCCCTTCAGGGGTATACCCCTGACTTCATCTGCCAAAACGGACCGCAAAATGGTTAACCGGCTGGTTGGTGAGTTGGACACCGCCGCCCTACAGGAATATGTTTCTGAGGACTCAAGCGACAATGACCAGATGCTGCTGACGAAGACTGGGCAGAAGCTCAAAGCTCTGTGGGCGGCTGTCCTCGGTGTGAGCAGCTCGTCCATCAGAGCAAGCGACAATTTCCTTTATCGAGGGGGAGATTCTCTCCTAGCTATCAAACTGGTGGAAATGGCTAGACTAGAACACCTTCACATGACAGTCAAGGATGTTTTGGGCTTCCCTAGACTTGAAGACCTTGCACGAATTCTTGATGAACGCAACGCAGCTGGCAAGGTTGACTCTGCTCAAGGGGAAGAGCGAAGTGACCCTCCCCCTTTCTCTCTCTGGCAGCCATCCTCGAGCGATAGAGAGGCGGAACTTGCAGACATTGCCATCCAGTGCGGCCTGAGTACCGAAGACATTGAGGATATTTATCCCTGTACCTCATTACAGCAGAGCATGTTGGCTGCCACGCAGCTACGCCCGACGGCGTATCTCGTGCGCCAAACCTACGCTCTCTCGGATTCTATCGATTTCTCGCGCTTCCGAACAATGTGGGACATCATGGTCCAACAGGGCCCCGTGATGCGAACTCACATGTTACTAGGACAGCGCTCAGGATCTTTGCAGGTGCTATCAAAGAAGGCTCCCACATGGCAGACCCATGATGACTTGAAGGAGTATGTTGCAGATGACCAAGCACACGCCATGGCCATTGGTCAGCCGCTCATGCGTTTTGCTTTGGTGCACGAGAAGTCGAATGGTGTCCGTTATTTTGTGTGGACAGCGCATCACTCGGTCTACGATGGCTGGAGCTCTCAGTTAATCTATAAGCGACTGGCGGCTCTTTATCTGCATGACGAGATTCCTCCTGCGGTTCCCTTCACAAGGTTTATTGCGTACCAGCAACGCATGAAAGAGGTTGATGGAATCGAGACTGCCTCCTACTGGCGCGACCAGCTTGGAGGAGAAATCCCGTCAGCCTTCCCTCCTATGCCGTCTTCTTTCTACCAGCCGAAGCCTGCCGCCTTGCTTCGCTCCGAGATAAGCACTTCAATGTTCAGTCATTCTAGGTCTGGGTTCTCACTTGCTGACGTCCTGAGGGCTGGTTGGGCTATGACTCTAGGTCAATACCTAGGCACAAACGATGTGGTCTTCGGAGCGACTCTTTCTGGCAGGAATGCCCCCGTCGCGGAGATCACCGAGCTTATCGCACCCACCATTACTACTTTGCCGGTTCGAGTGCGTGTCGATCAGGAAGCACAGGTTTCTAGTTATCTCGGAACTATAAAGTCCCAGGCAATAGAAATGATACCCTTTGAGCATACGGGATTGGAAGACATCAGACGCCTTGGTCCCGATCTCCAGCCTGCGACGGATATCAACCATGCTCTTGTTATTGAACCACCATATGCTAGGAATGGTCAGGGAGCAACCGAGATTCCCGGCTTAGAGCTGGTGGATACCTCCGTGAACGAGTTTGACACATTTGCTCTCACCATTCAGTGCCAACTCCCCAGCCAGCGAGGAGCCTCGATCAAGCTCGAGGCTCGTTTCGACAGTCACGTTGTAAGCGAGGCTCAAGTGGCTGTGCTTCTTCGCCAGTTTGAGCACTGGGTTTCACAGTTCCTCGACGAGACAAACCACGAGAGGCAGCTGCGCAGCCTGGAGGAAATCACCTCTGCAGATTTGGCCCAAATTAAGAAACAAAATGCTGCGATACCGGTGCGGGACTTGATCTGCCTGCACCACCTGATAAGGGATGTAGTCAAAGAACAGCCAGACTCGCCAGCGGTCTGTGCCTGGGACGGTGACTTTACATACAAAGAACTCTGGGCTAACGCTAGGAGGTTTGCACGGTATCTTTCTAGCCTTGGGGTGGGTCCCGAATCTAGGGTGGCGGTTTGCATGAATAAGTCTAGGTGGACTGTCGTGTCCATCTTGGGTATCCTAGAATCAGGGGGGTGGTTGTCATGCTGCGCTCGCAGTCCCCATTGGAGCAAGCCAAGGCTCTCGTGGAGGATTGTCAAGCAGCTGTCATGTTGACCAACGCAGGACACACGGATAGGTTCACCGGCTCGGGGCCTTGTATTGTTGAGGTGAGTGGCGCTTTGTTAGCCAGCCTCCCGGACCCCATCGTGGATGGGCCTATATGCCCGGCTCTTACCCCAGATCATCCCGCATGGATTGTGTACACATCCGGAAGTACAGGGTTGCCAAAGGGATGCCTTCTGGTCCATGGCGGTCTTGCCACCAGTCTGCCGGCACACGGAAGAGCGACAAGTTGGTCCAAGGAGTCCCGTACCCTCCAATTCGCATCTCATGAGTTTGATGTCACTCTGCAAGAAATCATGACGACTCTCATCTTCAAAGGATGTGTCTGCATTCCCTCGGAAGACCAACGAGTCAACTCGCTCTCACAGGCCATCAGGGACATGAATGTCAACCAGATGGTGCTGACCCCAACCGTGGCATCCATGATCAATCCGGCCGATGTTCCGTCCATAACTCAGCTGCAAGTCGCCGGCGAACTGATCAAGCCAAGTGTTGTCGAGCGCTGGATTGATCACGCCGAGGTAGTTAACATCTATGGTCCGTCCGAGTGCTCCGTCTACTCGTCCTGCGGCAAGCCGATGCAAAGAATCGAAGATGCGCCCGTTATTGGATACCCGCTGGAGAACTGTAACTTTTGGGTCACTAGCACCACCGACCACAACCGCTTGTGTCCCATTGGCATCCCCGGTGAGCTTCTCATTGAGAACTCCTGGCAGGCCCAGGGCTATGTGAACAACCCTGAGCTGACGGCGCAATGCTTTGTGGTTGAGCCCGGATTCATCAAGCAACTAGGGTTAGATAAGGCTGAAAGGCGAATGTATCGGACCGGCGATCTTGTTCAGCAGAATCCCAACGGATCCTACACTTACATCGGCCGCATAGGCAGCGAAGTCAAGTTTCGTGGGCACAGAGTTGACCTGGGCCGAATTGAGTATTGGATCGGCAAGCTTCTCGCCGGGGTGCAGACGATTGTTGTCGATCTGGTCGATCTCCAAGCTGGGAAGAAGGCGAATGATCTTGTAGCTGTGATCGACTTCATCGAAGGCTGTGACCTGTTGGACGTTGACCAAACCGAGGAGATTGATGGGGTCACCATTATTGCTCCTTCCAGTAAGATCCAAAAGGCCCTATGTGACCTCAGGGACGGGTTGGTAGACAAGCTCCCAAGCTACATGGTGCCGACCGCATTCATGCCCTGGAAGAAAATCCCCTTGACACCATCTGGCAAGACAAATAAAAAGGTTGTGCGTCAGCTGTTGACGAATCTCGAGTCAGGTTCGTCCTTGCTGCAACGCTATCTTGCTGGTGAAGGTATCAAGAAAGGCCCTCAAACCAAGATGGGCAAGCAACTTCAGCAGCTATGGGCTGAGGTCCTCTCCATCGATGCCGATTCAATCGGTTCCCAAGACCACTTTACGCGACTTGGTGGCGATTCCTTGGCGGCCATGAAACTTGTCGCATCCGCTCGCCAGGTCGGTCTTCAATTGACCGTTGCTTCCATATTTACGCATCCCATCTTGGAGGAATATACTCGAATCCTGGAAACCGAGCAGGAGGCCGGCCTCTTCAGAGTAGCAGAGGAGGATCCTGCTCCCTTCGAGTTGATGCCGGAGAATCCAAGTAGTCTCGGCGGCTTTGAATCTCGACTGGTAGACTTTGCTGCTCAATGCCAGGTGGCCTTTGACCAGATTACAGATGTATATCCTTGCACCCCTATGCAAGAAGCGCTGTTCGCCATCACGGCAAGACAACCGACGGCTTACACATATCGCCAAGTATTCCGAGCCAGGGGAGAGGATGTTGATATTGTCAGGTTTCAGGCCGCATGGGAAGCGGTAGCCAGAACACTGCCCATCCTTCGCACTCGAATGGTGCTGGACAGCAACAGTGGCTTTCTACAGACAGTGGTCGACGGGCCCCTATCATGGCACATTGGTGGCGATCTGGACAGCTACCTTGCCGTGGACAAGGTCGCGGGCTTCAAACTGGGCGAGCCTCTTCTCCGCTGTGCAATTGTCGAGGAGCAGAGCTCAGGGGACAAGTGCTTTGTCTTGACCACCCACCACAGCATGTTTGACAAATGGAGTCTCGGGAAGATACTGAACCGCTACCTCTTACCGGCCTATTATGGACGAGAAATGCCGAAGGCTATCCCGTACCCGAGATTCATTCGCCACATCCTTGACACCGACTTGGACGCCGCATCGCAATTCTGGACCCAGACGTTGGCAGATGCTAAGTCCTATACCAATTTCCCCTCGCTTCCTTCTGTTGGCTTCTATGAGCCCAAGCCTACCTCGCTCCTAAAGCAAATAGTCCGTATAGACGGAGTCGCGGGGCTGCAAACGCCCTTCCCCAGTCTTCTCAGGGCAGCATGGGCTTTGACAGTAGCACAATATGCCGGCGTCGAAGATGTCGTGTTTGCCGTCAATCTTTCAGGCCGCTCGGCGCCTGTGGCAGATATCACGGAGCTCGCGGCCCCAACGTTTACCACCGTCCCCGTCCGGATTAAAGTACACGGCCTGCAAAGGGTCCGGGACTTCTTGGACAATGTTCACCGCGAAGGCGTGGATATGATACCATTTGAGCACGTTGGACTCCAGAGAATCAAAAGACTCGTTCCAGCTTTCAACCCAGCTAACCCCAGACACTTATTCCTTGTACACGCCGCGGCGGATACGGACCTGGACGATCCGTCACTTGAAATGCCTGGCTTTGAGCAGGTACACCTGACGATGGAGGCGCTCGATGACTACCCGCTTTCAGTCATGTGCAAGTTGGATGAGCGCAAGGGAGAGGCTGAAGTGGCGGCTCGGTTCGACAGCGCCGTCATGTCCGACGACCAGGTCCAAGCGGTTTTGCGACAATTCGAGCACAACGTCGCCCAGCTTGCTGGAAATTCCGCTTCCGAGGAGCAGATGGTGGGAGATCTTCCTCTGGCCAACTCATACGATCTAAATAGGATTGCCGGTTGGAACCTCACCGGCCAATGGCCCTCCCTTGGCTGTGTTCATGATCTGGTCATCAAGACCGTTCGAACCAACCCTGACTCTCAAGCCGTTTGCAGCTGGGATGGGGATCTTACTTATCAGCAGCTTGATGGAGCGGCCAGAAGTCTTGCCCAGCTACTCATCGCAGAAGGAGGCGTGGGCCCCGAAATAGCAGTTGGGCTCTGCATGGACAAGTCCCGATGGGCCATGGTGGCTATACTGGCCATTTTATATGCCGGCGGCGCAGTGGTGCCGCTTGGAGTTCAACTGCCGCCGGAGAGAATCAGTGTCATTCTACAGGACTCGTCTCCAGCCATGGTACTCTGTGACGAGTCCAAGGCAGACAGGTTCCAATCGCTGGGTTACAAGAGCGTAACTGTCAATGAAGCAGCACTCGCTGACTTGGCCAAGTCATACGATGGCCGCCATTCTGCTGTTCCCTCGAAATCAGTCCGAGCCGAAGACACGGCTTGGATTATGTACACATCTGGCAGCACAGGACTTCCCAAGGGTGTGACCCTGGAGCATAGAGGCATATATAACGCCATCCTGAGCAAAGGCACCGACTTGAACGTGGACCCGAGTTACCGCATATTCCAATTTGCTGCCTTCACCTTTGATGTCTCTATTAGCGACATTCTCATGGCATGGACATTTGGGGGAGTCGTATGCTTGCCTTTGGAGGACGAGCGGATGAACGATCTGGTCGGGTCCCTGCAGCGACTGAACTGCAACTTTGCACTCCTCACAGCTAGCACGACAGCGCTGATCCCCCCGGCCGAGGTCCCGCAAATGAAGATGCTGGTACTGGGTGGTGAAGCTATCGCCCCAGCCTTGATTGAAAAGTGGCTTCTGGGTTCGAATGCCACCCTGGCCAACAGCTACGGCCCGACCGAGTGCTCCATCACAACAACCATAAATTTTGGAGTGACAGATGAGACCGGTTCATCCGTCATTGGCAGACCCATCCGCGGAACCCAAAACTGGATCGTGGACACTCATAACTACAACCGACTTGTGCCCATTGGCGCAGTGGGAGAGCTTCTTATCGAGGGCCCACAAGTCGCACGTGGGTATCGCAACGACCCTGTCAAGACCTCGGCAGCATTTATCACGGATCCTGGCTTCACTGCAGACGTTGGCCCCAGGAAATCTGGGCGTCGAATGTATCGTAGTGGAGACCTAGTGCGATACAACGCCGATGGTAACATCATGATTCTGGGGAGAAGCGATTCGCAGATCAAGATCCGCGGCCAGCGAGTTGACCTGGGCGAGATTGAATCGTGCATTGTGAAACTCCTGCCCAAGGTCCGAACGGCCGTGGTAGAGTATCTGCACATCAGTGACAATCAACACGCACTCGTTGCTGTACTTGAGTTCCTCGACAATGACAACGATGACGACGTGGCAGGCTATTCGGCATGGCTCAAGAAATCTCTAGCTAAGAGACTGCCGGCATACATGGTTCCGAGATTATATCTGCAAATAGACAAGATACCGAAGAACGCCTCCGGGAAGATCGACCGCAAAGCCGTCCGCCAGTTTATGATGGGCGAGGGCAACCAGATCGCGGATGCAAAGTCTCGAAGCGCCTCGAAAACTGGAAAGGTCGACACCGACAGGGAGGCCGTCGTCCGTAAGCTATGGGCAGCCGTGCTTGGGGTCGAGGCAGAGACAATCGACCGACATGATAACTTTTTCGACATCGGCGGTGACTCTATTAGCGCCATGAAAGTCGTTGCGACTGCAAGAGCGGAGACTCTTGATCTTCGTGTGCTGGACATTTTTGAGAATCCAGTCTTGTTCAAAATGGCAGTTGTCGCAAAAAGTCTGACTAGATCGGCACTTGAAGCGACTTCACCGTGCCCTTACCGTCCTTTCCAGCTACTCGACGATGCGGACAACAATAATATCGACGCGTTCCTTGATGAGATCATCTGCCCCATCACTGGGACCGGAAAGGAATCGATTCAGGATGTCTTCCCTACCACTGACGCCGTTGCCTTCAGCGTGGCAGGAGCATTGACCGCGGCCCAGACAGAAGTAAACACATTTATCCTAGATACGGATCGCGGCCTCGATCTAGTTCGACTACAGCAAAGCTGCATGCTACTAGCGCAGCATATCGAAGCTTTTTGCACTGCTTTCGCGTTTGATCTTCGCAACGGAAGGCTTCTCCAGATCATATTGAAGTCCTATCAGCACAATGTGCTCGTGATCAAGGCTGCTGGCTCGCTGGAAGATGCCACCGAGAGCTTATATGAAGGGCACATGTGCCGTCAACCTCTTCGACTCGGCACACCTATGGTGAACATGGCTATTCTTCAACAAGATGAGAGCAAAAAGACCCGCATACTATTGCGCATGTCACATGCTATATACGACGCCATGTCTCTTCCAATCATCCTGGACACCCTCCGCAAATTGTACCATCAACAGGACGATTATGAGCCGCTCTTATCAGGCTCTTTCGCCCACTACGTCGCAGATCTGAATCGACAGACAAGTGACACAAGCTACAGCTACTGGCGGAGCTTGCTTGATGGGTCCGCCATGCCCGAGCTCATTCCAGCGACAGAGTCCAACCACCACCAGAGCCCCTTGCGCATGGCCTTTACCAAAAACAAGGTGATATCAGTGCCTAAATCAAAGGGAGAGGGTATTACCACCTCCACCCTCATCAGCTGTGCATGGGCACATGTCCTAGCCCAGTACACGGGGAAGGACGATGTGGTGTTTGGAGATACCATTTCCGGGAGAAACGTGGTCGACCCGTCTATAAGCAGTATCGTTGTCGGCTGCTGTGCAACCAACGTCCCTATGCGCATCAGGTTTGCTGATAGCTCCGGCCAGCATTCGATCCTTCAACTGTTGAACCAAGTGCGAGATCAGCAGCGGAATCGCATTCCTCATGAGGGTGTTGGTTTCCGTTCAATGATCCGGGAGTGTACGGAGTGGTCCCCGGCTACTCGCTTTACCTCCGTCGTCAATCACCGACCAGCCAAGCCAGCGGCCAAGTCAGCCAGCGGACAAATCGATTTCCAAGTGAGCACCATCACCACTGAAATGAAACCACTCACGACTTGGTACGATCTCGCTGTCATCTCCCAGGAGAACGATGGCACTGTTGAGATGAGTCTGGGTTACTCGACAAGGGCATTCCACCTGGATACGGCTCAGGCACTGCTGGAAGATCTTGCCGACACTGTTCACATTCTTTTGAATGCTGGGCCTTCTAAATCTGACCAAATCGCCCTTCTTGGAACAGAAATGATGCCAAGATCTTCCTTCAATTTCGCCTTGTTGCGACCGGTTAGGAGTTCTGAAGAGCAGAGTCCAACCCAAGGCAGATCAAGCAACGCCATTTACACCAACAAACTCGACGATTCTAGTCTCAGTATTCTCGATACAATCTGGTTCTCCGTCTTTACTTCAAAACGCACAACAAGCGTGGGAACGTTACCGCCCGATGCGCCTACTCCAGACATGTGTTACCTGCCGTTCTACCAACTAGGAGGCGACCTTCTCGATGCCGCCCATTTAATCGCCATAATACAACGCAGGATTAAGACCACCCCCGAAGCGGAAGTGAATGGGGACGCCATTTCAATTTCGCACGGTCAAGTGACAATCGATGATGTTCTTCATCATCCCAGTCTAATGGAATTTGCTAGCGTTTTGAATCAAAAACAACTTCATTTAATTTAGTGTGCTTTCTGTTGACTATACACTAGCTTAGCGTATATCCTCCCCATCCTGTATATAGTACATTAGTTCCCACTAGACTCTTAAAATCTAATCTTTTTTCTCCTCTTCTCTTCCTGACCCCAAAATCTACACTCTCTTTTGTTATAAAGCAAGTTCCTTCATCATCTACCAATATAAAACAAGTTTTAACCCCTTTCCTATAGTCAACTCACTGATCAAGCATTTGAATGGAGTGTTGTAAGGCTTATTAGTTGTAGTGAGACAAAACGTGCACACGATTGCCTCTTCTTGAAGGGGTATACTCGTATATTCCAGAAAACCGAAGGACTAAGAGTCGTATTGTGAGGTTGTGAATATGTAGGTGATCTTCTTAAAAGCCAGGTTCTTACGAACTGGTCTTGTGCGCTCGTAAGAATATTCAGAATTGCTTATCGTACTCATATCGACAACAACCTGAAGAGGTTCTGTTGCAGCAGAACCTTTTAGACCCCTGGTGGGGCCGCTAGTGATCACCGCCTGGCAGAAAAATATAATTAGTGGAATCACTTCCGAAGTTAGCCCTTTTTTGTTTACCATCTACTCATAGGTACAGACTTTTAATTTTCAGTTTATGGAGCCTTTTCGTTAGAAACTCTATCAAGGGTTCCAGAGGTTCTTCAGAAGGAACCAATATGCTAGATTGTTATATCGATATCAAAAATATGAGACTGAAATCAATATATATGTAGACGAAAATAAACATGTACAGTTACTTCACTTAAACATTGAGAATATGAAATACTCAAGTCACTTCAACTCATACTTCGTTGCATCTATCAGAAGCTAACGTATTCCAGATTCCTCTAATACATAATCAAATATTTTTACATCAAACCTTGAAATCTTCAACGCAAAGGACCCAATTCTGTAAAGTTGATTCATACCTCTCCTAAAACACATTTTGTCGGAATAGAGGTTCGAAACCATGGGTTATTAAACACGTGATGAATTGGTTTATCTTCGTCACGTGTGTGGGTGTAACTTCCCCACTTTCGTTCTGAACCTTTATCTGTCTCTTCGTAAGAAGGAATGTGCTTGGAGATAGATAGTTAGAAGAAAACAGTTATTTTTACTTTGTTGTTTTATTACTGTTTCTTATTTATTAGTTGTTTTATAGAAAACTACAGTTTTTCTAATATATTTTTCATACTTAAAAGATTAAAGTAATATTACTAATTTTAAAAAAATAGTAAAAAAATAATATAATTAAATAATCAAGAATAAATAGTAGTAATTATATATAATAATAATAAAAGGGGTATTATATTTCTATTTCTAATAATTTGTGAATAAATATATCTTTTTAATTAATATATTAAAATTAATATTTCTATAAGTTAAATTATTAAATCTATTTTTGATAAATAAATAAATAATAAACTAAAATTAGAATAATTAAAATACTTTAATAAATACATAAGAAATTAAACTAAAAGCAAATATAAAATACTAATATTAAATAAATACAAAAACTGTAAATTAATATTATTTCAGAGTTATTATTAAAAGAATATATTATTAAGATATCTATATTACAATATAGATTATAAGATAAACCTAAGGAGTTGATGTTAGAATCTATGAAAATAACCCTAAAGAAATAATAGAATTAAAGAATAATTAAAAATAATAATAATTAAAAAATAGGTATCTATTATTAATATCAATTCTATAATAAATATAAGCTAAATAATGATTATAAAATAGTTAATAGGTATAGATTAATTAGTAGATATAGATTAAATAAATAGTAATCTTATTAGGGATTATAGGATAAGTATTATATAACTAAAAACCAATCGATTTATTAAATTAATTAATTTGTTAATCGATTTTTAAAAAACAAAGATCTATATAAGGAAATAGATTTCATTATAATGTAAAGCTTTATGCTTAAAACAATTATTAGTTTTATGTTATAATTATATTGAATTCCTATTTAAAGTTTAGTCTAAACTATCTCGAGAGATCTCTAGCCACTTCCACGTGATTCTAGAGGCAGCTTCTGTGACAGAATAATATTAAATATTTTAATATTTTAAAATAAGAATATAATATTTAATTTAACGGGTTTATAGAAGTATATATCAATTATATCTTAAAGATTAAATTCCTTATAATTTTTTAAATTTTATATTAATAATTAATTATAAATTAGAATATAAAAACTGTATTCAAAAAAGTAGAATTAGTTCTATTTAATTTTGAAATAGTATTTTTTAAATTGAATATTTAAATTTATATATTTACTCCTTTCTCTTTTGATTTAAATCTCTAAATCTCTTAAATCCTTCAAATCCTATAAAAGCTTTTTTTTAATTAATATTAGTTAAATCTCGAATGACTTATTATTAATTGAATTCTTTTATATCTATATTCAAGATGATATTAATTTTAGCTAAAAATATAAAGAGATCAGCTTATAAAAATACATTTTTAAATATAGTATTATAAATATCAATATGGAACCAGTATTGGGCCGATTATTATTTTAATATTGAAGAGTTTATATATATATATATATATAGTTTTAGAAATAGGTTTTTAAAGAAATCAATAAAAAGTCTTATTATTAGATTTATATTTATATTCTATATTAATTATTATTTTATATTCATTTTAATAATTCTTTTTATTTAATCCTTTAAAATAAACTATTAATTAGTTTCTAGGAAAAGCTTTAAAAGCTTTAAAAGCTTTAAATTTCATTTAGACTATAATATATTTATAATATATTATTAATATATAATTAATATTATTTAAATTAAGATAACTTTTATTTTATTTATAAAAATTGAATTAAAAAAATTAAAAAAGAAAAAATCTTTAATATAAATTCTTTAAAAAGTATCTAAAATGTTTTTGTAATATACTTTTGATATTTTTTTAAAATAAAATAGAATAATATAATAAAAGAAAGGAAAAGAATATTAAAAAAAGAAGAAAGTCTTTTCTATAAGCGAATTCTATTTTAGATAATATTTATAAGATATTAATAATATTCTTATAAATTTTATTAAGAAATAGAGTTTCTATATAATATTATATAAAGAGAAAAGTTTAGTCAATTATTCTATAATTAATAAGATTATTAATTGAAGTTAATTATAAATAATTAATATTTTATTAAATAACTTATATTCAATTAAAAATAGAATAATATTTATTAAAATTATTTTATTTTAATAGATAGATATAAATATATTATATTCAGAATTTCAAGGTTTTAGATTTCAGGTATTTTTTATATTTTTTAGATTTCTTTTAGATTTTGAGGATTTAATAAAAAATTAGTAAAGCTTCTTTATTTTCAAGCTTTTTTTGGATTTTCAGGATTTCCTAGATTTTTAGGATTTTCAGGATTTCTCGAATTTTTAGGATTTTCAGGACTTTCAGGATTTTCAGGATTTTTAGATTTTAAAAGTATTAGTCTAACTAGCTTATATAGTTTTATCATTTTTCAGGATCTTTAGGATATAGAATACTATTTAATAGTGAATTACCATTGAGTTCTAATTTTATATGTTTTATATACTTTTGGAAATAAAAGTTTAAAAAGAGGAAGATAAAACTTTATTAAATATGAATTATTATTTTATCAAAATTGAATCGATTTCTTTTTGAATTTTTCGAATTTTTAAGGTTTTCAAACTTTGAAATATAAATCAAATTATATAAATTAGATTGATTCTTAATATTCTCATATTATAATATAATTATTGAAAAGAGCTATAAAGAAATTGAATCTTATAAAATGAGGATATAAGTATTACACAATTAGCTTGTACTATAGAATTTAATAAAATTTAGAAAAAGGGATTGATCTTGTAGTAATTAGTTATTGAATAGCTTTAAAGCTTTTAAGGACGAAAGCCTTAAAAAGAAGGGCTTTGTTATAGGTATCGATATAGAATCAATATCAGGCCGACTATTATTCTGATATTGAAGAGTTTATATATATATATATAGCTTCAGGAATAGATTTTTAAAGGAATCAATAAAAAGTCTTATTATTAGGCCTATATCTATATTCTATACTAGTCGTTACCTTATATATATTCTAACATATAGAGATTTATTTATTTTAAAAAAGAAATAAGATATTAAATAAATATTTATATATATATAAAAATTGATTATATTAAAAAGGAGTATTTATCAAATAAAAGATTAATATTTAGATTTAATTTAGTAAGTATTAAACAAAAGAAATTATAATAGAAAAGTATCTTTTAATAGATATTATAGTAAGTCTAAAAAAGCAGGTTATAATTTAAGAATTTATTAAAATAATATAATAAATCCTAGATTATTCGATTTTTAATAATTTCAATTAATTAATTTAATTGTTATTAAATAATATAAATTAGAAAATACAAATTAAGGTAAAAGTAGTATATTTAGTGATATAATATACTCAGTATTAAATCATGTTATATATATAATAAAAGAGTTTAGAACTCTAATTAATATTATAATTATATATTAGAGTATATCAATAGAGGTTAATTAATTAGAATAAGAAAGTTAAAGAGAAAAGAGATTCTGAAGGGATTTCTTCATCTTTTATATAATAATAATCACCTGATTCAAGCTACCCTTGAATTAAGGTAAGTGTAATGAGTAGTCACAATGTCATGTGATATTCGTTACATCTTACTAACGTACGGCTCATTTGCGAAGGCATATGATAGGCATGTACGGCCATGCTTCCCCTTTAAGTACGGGTACGAGTACTAGTACGACTCCGAGTACGACTCGATGCTTAGTCAGAATTTGAAACCATTCTTAATTTCCTACATTTCCATTGGCTGGGATTCATGAAGTCATTCTAGAGACTTTTTCGTCGTCTAATATAATCTCTAAGCCTCATTTTAGTCTCAGAGCCAGTAAGAGCTTATTGAATCTTTCTCGATAGGCAGAGTAAGTAGATGGAACAGCCCTCGGGGGTTCATCTGTTCGAGAAAAGTGGAAGAGGTAATCAACTACGTCTTGAGATTGCTAGGATGGAAGTGGAGTTTTTCCGTATTCGGGCTATGGCCTGTTCAAACCTACTATCAGTATACTGGGTAGCGACATGGATATATAGCATTGTAACAGGGCAGCCGTTCTCTGAGAGGCACTGTCCAGGCTATATTTATAGATGTCTGGGGATTTAAACAGATACTCATTTAGAGTTTCTTGCAGATCGACAATGCAGCTGCAGGATAGTACTTGCACACGCGGGATGTTCGGTACTTGTGTTTAGTGTGGGAGCAGTGGTCCCCAGCAGGCGAGTTACTCACAAACGAAATGATCATGAGATAGTAGTATATAATCAGCGTTTTCTCTGATTCACAAGACACCTGTACATCGACAACTCTTCATATACCGCCTAGATCATCTCACAACTATTATCCCACAATATTCTCACCAAAATTTGCGATGCACTTTCTTGGAAGGGTTTGGATGCTAGGAGCAGGTCTTTCAGCATGCTGCTCCGCTGCTCATATTACCCAAGACCGGCTTGTCTCTCTCAGCAGTGAAAATTACGACGGTACTACGAAGGTCGAACTCATCACGAAAGGCCTCGGACAGGTCGATTTCTTTAAGCTCGACCCAGCTCCGAACGCTACCACATTTGACTCGTATGTTAAGTCAACAAGTCACACCAATGCAATTGTTTGTACGTTTAGCTAAAGCTTGCAGGTGGTACTTTGATGCTATGAATCCCTTGACGAATGAAACTGTCATTTTCAACTTCGAGATACAGTCTCCGACTAATAGTGCTAACGTATCGGAGCCTCTCTATCGAGTCTCACTGTATGGGTCGTTTGCCAATGGTACAGCCTACAGCTATGAAGTCGAGGCTGAAAATGTTAACATAACGGAAAACGACGAAAACGGTACCAAAGTGGCCTACTTTGGCGGTAACGACTTCTCTTGGTCAGGTACAAGCCTCTTGAAACCCAGACCGGTCTACACGGTGACTATTAATTCGACTGAGGTTGGTATCTCAGGGACTTTGATTTTGCAGGGAAATGTAAGCGTTTCTCACCCTTATTATGGTAATATCAAAAGTTAATATCAGTGCACAGCTTGCCGCGCCTCATTATTCCTGCGGCATCGATGCAGCAGGCGTTGATCAACAAACCGCTCCAGGGTTGGATGGGCTAATGCGGTACCCGACGCTAACGCCACTGTTTCTATCCATATTCGCGATACGGCAATGTCTTTTGAAGGATATGGCTATCATGACAAAACCTGGGTTGATCGTCCTTTTGAGACATCGGTGCAGGCCGCGTTTTGGGGTCACGCTCGCATAGGGCCCTACGCCGTTGTATGGATGCACTCGCGCACGCAAGATGGCGTGGACATTAGCTCTGAATACCTCTCCCGGTGGGCCGATGGACAAATACTCGCCGCTCGTTGTGTCCCAAACAGGGAGAATAACACATTAGGGTGGGGAGAAGGTCAGATATGGCCGCTTGTCCCGGGTACTCCGGCACCTGCAGGTATGATCATACGATGGGATCTGGGAGATGAAGGTGTTTTTGCTATGAACTTGACAAGTTCCGGCAACATCTTTGTCGATGTCCCATCCTGGCAGGCTGGCCGAGGGACGGTAGTAGGTGGATTTGAGGGTCAAGAAACCTTTACTGATTTGACTGGACTGTGGTCGCTCAATCAGCTGCCGCAATTGTAAGAATCATATACTCATCCAGCCCACCTTGTCACGGCGTCGATCACGAGACTGCTCGTCCTATCGAAAAGGACCAAAAATCAACATCTATACCCAGTGCGCAAGCAAGCTAAGATTCAACCGAACAAGCTCGCTTATAAAAACTCTATACATCCTCAATTTAAAAAATCCTGTACTATAGCTTTTTAAACTACTTATTATTAAATCTAATATAACTTTATTATTTTAGAACAAAGTTCCTATAATCCTATTCTTTTCTATCTGCCGCGTAATATACCTAATGATTTTAATATAAAGATGATTCATTTACCTCTTTTAATAATCCTTATATATACGCTTTTGACTTTTATATAATATTTATTACTCATTCATGAGTCTTTAATATGATAGTATAAGCTTATATAAAGAAGTACAAATTAAAAGTCTATATATATTTAGAACTCTAAAAGAAACATTGTATAATACTCGTTCTAAACATCGAATATATGAATTTTTACAACAAATTAAGGGATTATACCTGTTAGGGCAGGGAAAAGAGTTCTACTAGTAGAACCTTAAGATCCTGTCAATAGAAGGTATAAAAGAGTATTAACACCGCGAACTTTAATATATATTCCTCTTTTTCTAATTAAAATAGTTTAAAATGTTATTATTATTATTATAAATATCTTTAATAATTAGGTTATAATTATCAGAAGTAAACAGCAAGTTATACATAATAAATAATATATTGAATATATATATTGAATCTATATATCCGGGAACTTTAAAAAAGGAGTTTTATAATAATATACACATACTATATATGTGCTACATATATAAATTTTAATATTCCCCCTATAATAAAAATCTATTATTTAAATTATATAAACTCTATATATATATATATATTTATGAAAAATCTTATTAATTTTTATGATAATGCTAATATTTTAGTATTACCTATGATTTCTACATCTCCAATGAAGTTCAATAACTCTACAATCTAATATTGTATTGTAGTATAAGAATACTCTTTTATCTAAATTCTGTTTTCCCTACCCATATCAAATAAAATTCAATCCATCATAAAAAAATATAGTAATACAAATTCAATCTACTTTCATAAAATTCTTTTTATATATACACTAACGAATTGCTTCAGGTTTATTATCTTTGGATTGTAGGGTTACCTTTTTAATATAATAAATAACCTAAATCCAATTTTATACAAACAGACCTCCAGATTATCTATTATTCTATATAGTTTTTCTTTAAATGGTTAATTTAATTAATTTGATCAATTGATTTAATCAATTTATAGTAAATCGATTAATTCAATCAATTCGTACGATTTTCAATAAATTTGATAGATTTGGTGATTATGGTGAATCTTATAATATTGATAGAATTAAAGAATTAGGTGAATTTAATGATTTTAATCAATTTTGGGTAAATTAATTAATTTAATCAATTTAATCAATTGATTTGATTAATTTGGTTAATTAAGGGTTAAATCAATTAAATTAATTAAAACATAGAATATAATCAAATTCAGAACCAATATTTATTGACATTTTTTGATACACTTACTTTTAGTATTCCAAATTTAATTCTAGATTTTTTTATAAGTTATAAAGTCAGAATATATGAACTATTTTATAAGGATATTAGCTGTCTGCTCAGTTCCTAGAATTTATATAATATATAGTCTTTTTATATCAACTATATCTTTCCAAATATAATACTATTAAATATTGATATACTTTGTCTTGCTATAAAACTTATTCTTTTATATTTATTTAATTCCGTTTATATTATTGCAATATAATATTAAAATAAAGAGCTTTTTCTTAAAGTGTTTACCCAAATCTTTAACTAACTTTTCCATTCAAACTAATTCTTTTACACCCTTATTTACTATTATAATCTTAACTTCCATTATACAAAAAAATATCGATTTTTGTTTTATTAAAGATTATATTATAATATTATTATATTTAATAAAAACTACTTCTTAAACAAATTTCCTATTAATTAAAAATCCTTATATCGAGTCTATATAAACTCGATATTTGTATAAAAACATATTAAATCGATTTAAATAAATTATACTAATTGAATATATACTAGTAAAATATTAAAGCAAGTATTTTACAAATACTAAATAACTTTCCCCCAATATATATATAATACAAGTAAGTTAGCCTATAGTATATACTATATTGGATTATATATAATTAAAAGAATAAATAATGCTACCAATAATTTGAAGGTAAAAAATCTTATCATCTTTGTATAATAACTCTTCTTTTTCTGTATTTCAAATTATTGTGCTTGGAGGTAGGGGCAAATTCTTGGTATTAAAAAGATTAATTCCAAATCTGTATAAGATTTTCTTTATATAGTTTGATTAATGTATCTTAAATAATCAATCCTATTAATAATACTCTATTTGAATATCTAGGAATATACTGATTTTATTTAAATCTTTGTATTTCCATTTACTTGAAATTGTTTTTTTTATTAAATTTATATTAATACAATTTCCTATTATTAATAGATTATCTATATATAATAGAATATATACTCCCTTTTTATAAAGAGATTTGGATTTACTATAGATTCCTTAAATCTAATCTTTTTAAAGAATCTTTAAATAATAATTCATTAAACTTTTGGTGCTTATTTTAGTTTATAAAGTAACTTTTTCAATTTAAAATATAATTTGCTTTTGAGTTTAATCTTAAGGAAGATTTCTTTGAAAAATTCTGGTATTTTTATAAGGATTTCTATATTTGTTAGCTTATTATTCAAGAAAATAATATTAATATTTATATTATTAATTTCTAAATCTTCTATAGTAGTTTTGGCTAATAAAGTGTATAATATTGAATATCTTACTATATCAACAAAAATCTTTTGAAAATCTATTCTATATTTTTGAAAATACTCCTTGATTATTAATCTTGCTTTTCTTTTGACTAATCTACCAAATTGATTTAGTTTATTTCTTAGAATATATCTATTATTCAATAACTTTTAGTCTGTAGGTATAGCTTTATTCATAATCTCAAAGATACCATTATTCTTTAGACTTTATAATTCAGATTTAATTACTTTTATTTATATTTAAATATCCTCTTATATAGTATCTTCAAATTCTACTAATTCTTTAAGTATTAAATTAAAATTACCAGCTGAATAATCTTTAGGATATACGGAGGCAATATATAGTATAATTATATGCTAAATAATCTAATTATTAAAAATCTTTTTCAATTGTTTTTTGTAATTTTTATTTAGAGTATCTTAAATTAAAATAACTATTAGAATAGATCTAATTCTTGAAATCTCTATAACTACTTATATTCTCTATCTTAAAAATAAAGGTATTTGTACATTTTGTATAAGGTATCTAGTTTCCTATAGTTATTATTGTTATAATATTTGTAAAGAATAAATTCGAGTTTTCTCTCATTCTTTTTAGATTTAAGCTTTTATTTGCTTATTAATATATATATCTTTATATATATCTTTTTATATTATCAATTATATTCTTCTTTTTGTAGTCTTTTATAAATTATATGGATAAGATTTCCTTTTTCTTTCTATTCCAAATAATTCTAAAATATTTTTTTCTTTGAGTTTTTTAAATAGATATCTATATTTATTGAAGTCAGTATTTACTATTCTAATAATAGTTTTGGTATAAAAATTGAAGAGGTGATAAATATTATTTTTATTTATTCTAATTATAATATACTCTTTTTTGAGTATTCTAGACTCAAATTTCTTAATCATCAGATTTGATTACTAGGGGTTTCTGGCCTATACTTTATAATTGAATATCCTAAGCTTTTTAAAGTTAGACTATCTACTATATATAACCTCATATAGTATTATCACTATAAAAAGCGTTTTTATTTTTTCAAAAAATAATACTTTAATAAGTAATCTATTCTTTAGATATATAGTATATTTGACAATAAATTCCCATATATTAGGCTTAATACCTAATTCACTTAATAACAATCTTACTATAATATTAATATCTTGAATCTTCTTTTCAGCCATTCTATTTATAGAATACTTTCCAAGAGGTAAAGATTCGAATATTAATCTTCTTTTTCCAATCTTTATTTAAAAAGATATACCAAATTCACTCTTTTTGTTATTTGCTTTAATAATAGTAATCTTATAATTGAATTCTTTTTTGATCTAATTAATAAGATCCATTAATATAGGTATAATAATCTCTACAGATTTATCTTTTATAAGTCTGAGTCAAGTTTCTTTTGTTGTATTATTAATAATTGCAATAAAGTATCTATTTTCATTTTCAGAAGGTTTTTGAATCTCTAATAGATTTATATACAAGTATTATAGTTTTGTAGGTGTATAGATAGCTATATATTTATTGAAATATTTATTCATTCTTTTTATGAAACAAGGCTCATAAGCTTTTCGATTAGTACTTTTCTTTTTTTAGTATAGTATAATCTATTTGAAGTTTTTTTTAACTTATTTATTTAATTATAATTGAGATAACCTAAGTAATAATGTATAATCTTAGTTTTATTATTATTCACATTAATTTCTTTTGTTTCTAAGTTTATATTAATTATATATACTTATTAAATA